GGTATAAGCGATGATTGCAAATCTTGATTTTATTTAATTGAATAATAAAAACGTTAATAATAATTGCTAATATTGATAAAAAAATATAAATGCTGTACATATGTAATTATTATTAACTTACCCCGATAGATATTATAAATTATAGAAACATTGCACGATACTGACATAATAAATTGATGAAAATTTTGTAATAATTGCATTAAAATGACTCGCTATATATAATGCAGTAGTTTTGTCAAAATAAAATTTTTAAATAATATTTATCAGAAATTAGGTAAGTTTAATTTGAAATATAAATATTTTATAGTTATTTTGTCATGCTTAATCATTATATTTTATATTTTTTTAATAATAATTTAGGAAACATATTAAAAATGCAACATATTAAAATATTAAATGTATTTAATAATAATTTGAGAATATTTGTGCATTTTTATGAGCATATACGTATATTTTTATTGTTTTATTAAATACCTTAACACTAATTGCGCAAATAGTTACTAGTTTCTTAAAATAAAAGATAAAGATTTCTATATTTTTTATATTTATTTTTATAAATATACCCACATCACAAATTTTATTTAAGATGTCACATCATTCTATAAATGTCTTCCTATCCGGGTATAATATTGTTATTTTGCATTAATATTATATCATTATTAATATTTCACAATTCTTGGATCGCATAAAATAATGTTGTTTATGTTTCGTTTATAATTTATAACAAAAAGGAATTTTTTATTTTGAGAGAGATTTTCTCATGTCAATGCAAGAAATGTAAATAAACGATGTTAAAAAGAACGCTATAGAGGTCGGATACTCCGAGTTTCGGTCCCATGAGTTTACGTTAATGCAAAGAAGACTGACGCTGAAAGACGGCGATTAAAACTGTCTACCGGTATTGAAATTTATTCTAACCGGTTCCATTAATCCCAGGGCATTGAGAAATAATTTAGAGAAAATAGAACAGTTTACAAGCGACAATACAACATAGTTCCTTGGCAGACACGGACGTTGCTTTGATAAGTAATTTATAAAGGAAAGAGTATACCGGATAGAGCGAATTCATTAGAGAAAATATTTGCGTGGAAAGATAACTTTTCATGTTCGCGCTATAATATAAACATTCGATAATATAAAATATAATCATATTTAAAATATGGAACAGTGTTGTACAAAAGTATTAATGAGCAAAAATATTATAGGAGTTTATTGTTAATTTAAATTTTTTATTTGCGCTTTATGAAACGTTGAATGAAGGTCAATAACATTTTCTGCAACGTCTAATCGTTGCACTTCAATTATCCACATGGAAGCCAGCGGGAAAGAAACGTGAGATTTTTCTCGGTGTAATAGATTTGTCGTTGCCGTTCCAACCATTATTCTTTGCCTGTTGAAAGCAGTGAGAAGAGAAATTTTAGGTATTCCAACATTGGTTTTATCTTGAGCTAAAAGAACTGTTTCCGTCTTACCAATTGGATTGTTCGTCGATCCGTTATTGACCAGAGGAATTTAATTATACGATGCGCATTTCGGATGCAGACGAGAAAGTTTTATGCCAATGTACGTATCTGCTCTAATCCCTATCATTGCTTATTCTGTCTTTCCACTTTACCGCATCCGTTCGTTACAATTGGCATCCAGAAAACGCTGCCATCGCTTCAATAACTCACTTCTAGTAGCCAAAAATTGCGAGAAATAGTTTGCGTTTTCTATTTTTCTATGAATGTAGGTTAACTTTTTTTGGTTTAACTTACTTTTTATTTTTTTCTATTTTTAAGAATTAGAACAGATCTGTTCAAGATTTGTGGATCGGCTTAACGTATGTCGATATTTTTTTCCTATTGGCTTCTTTCTTCGTAATAATGATAGGAAAAGAAAGCAAATAGGCGTGAATATCAATATACTTCATTAATATATTGTACTTCATACAACATTAAGTCAATGCCTAGAATTACGAATTTTGGACAGCACTTTTAATTAAAACATCTATTATTTTTCTAATTTTAGAAGAATTTTAATACAAATAAACATTAGATACCTTTTTTTACGGACTAAATTAGGACACACTTGTGTAAGAAAGACCATAATTTTTAAAAAATAATCTAGACATATGTTATAGAACATTCCAATTTATCGGAATTTATTCCTAATAATTTCATAATATGATACATGCTCTGAAAGCTAATTGCTAAATGAAATACGCTGTTAATTATTGTAAACAATTACAATTTACTTATTTTGTTTATTAAAACAAAATCTTCTATTTGTCAGAAGAAGTGCATAAAATTTCAAAATTTGCGTTTAATCTATTGGTAATCTCAATCCGTTTTTCAGAGATAAAAAAACTTCGACGTAGGTGCGCGATCTGAATTTTGAAGACTGTGACCGCTAGAAATATTCATAAGCCACAAAAAAAAGCCATTGACTACAGCGATCGATTGAGGACTAGCGATTTATACGTCGTTATAAAAGTTTGTATCTCACCTCGTCGTCGCGATAAATTCTTCGATAACTTTGACGAAGCCGGCTTACGGATGTCGCAGCGCGTCGCATACACCAACACTACCCGCCCAACCACGGACTACAGTCTAAGTTTTCCGCCGCGCCCATCATATTTTATAAACATTCTTTTAAGTGGATCTGAAAGGCACCATTAAGGCTGAAAGGCTAAAAACACGGGCTGAGAGAGATGCGGGGAAGTAACATCGTATCTTAGATCGATACGTTTCTGTTCAAAGAGCAGTGAAATTTTACACAAGATTGAAAAAGGTAGGGTCCGTGTCTTTCCGGGCTAGGGTAACTGTCCCAATTACTGTGCCTGTCCCTATTAGTGTGCTTTTGTATTCCGATAAGTCATAAAGAAAACTAGCACAAAAAAATAAATAGAAAAAAATATTTTTTCTTGTTAAGTTAAATTAATTATTTATTAATGCATACACACGATACCGAAGATAATATTTTATTTTTTAAGTATTAAAGTATTTTAAATATTTTTCAAAAGAGAGATATGAGGAATTTATGTGAATCCAGTAATACGTACCGCAAGATTTTAAACTTGTTCTCATTAATGTGCCCTGTATTGGAGCACGTTGTGTTATGAGTGTACATTGAAATAAATATAATTAAAATAATGATTTATGTAATATTATAATATCT